TTTCGATCTTTTAGAGAAAGTGTATTATAATATACAATATAGTGCATAATTATATGGTATGGCATGTGAATTGTAATGTTCTAGTTGTTTAAATATGACATTTGTATTACATTTTTAACAAAACAAATAAACAAACAAACAAACAAACAGACAAAACACAAAGTTTGCAAGCTTGGAAGTTGATTAAATGTCCTTTGACCAGTAGCTGACCACTTGGAGTCCCTCTGGTGTTGCCTCAAGAAGGTCGTCCATTGTGCATGTAGCAGGGCTCAGGTTGCATTGCAGCAGGTGGTCAGTGGTTTGCTCTTCTCCACACTCACATGTCGTGGATTCCACTTTGTAGCCCCATCTCTGAAGGTTGGCTCTGCATCTCGTGGTGCCAGAGCGCAGTCTGTTCAACACCTTCCAAGTCGCCCAGTTTTCTGTGTGCCCAGGGGAGAGTCTCTCATTTGGTATCAGCCATTGGTTGAGGTTCTGGGTTTGGGCCTGCCACTTTTGGACTCTCACTTGCTGGGGTGTTCCAGCGAGTATCTCTGTAGATCTTAGAAAACTATTTCTTGATTTAAGTCATTTAAATATGATGAGTGATGCCATGATTGCTCACACTGGAAAGAGTTACATGATGCTAGTGTACATAGCATAATATAGTGGTGGTAGTAATAGACTGTTGAGACCAAGGTTTGAATCCCTGCTCAACCACTGGATCATAGGGTAACCTTGGGCCAGTTCTCTGAGCACCAGGAAGGAAAAGGCAACCCTCCTCCATGAACAAAATCCTTCCTAGAAAACTCATTGATATAGGTACATTCTAGGGCCACCATCAGTCAGAAATAACTTGGGGGCGCCCAAGAACAAACATTTATAGAAACATTTATGTATAGTTTTGAATTTGATTGCTTTGTGAATCATGCAGTAAGACAGTAGATTGTATTATGCTACATTTTCTGATAAGTTTATGATTCTGTGATAACAGAGTACTTGAAAGTAAGTCTCATTCAACTTAATGCCTGATTGCTCTACTTAACTGGTAGACTTTGTGAAATAGGAAAAAACATATTCAACATCTTTTTTTCTATTTTAGGGAAATCAAGCTCCAGTCTATACAATGGCTGTGACTACATTGAATAAAACTAGCAATAGAACTGATGGTGAAGACTGAATTTTGCAATTGTCCCTCGTTTTAAAAGCCTGTTTTTACGAAATCAGGTTCTAATATGCAGCAATGGTTCCACCCAGTGGTTATTCCATAGCTATGCATTATGACTTTTCTAGTCTACATTTCACACAAGAATTCTTTAGTTTAACATTTGACTAGAATATAAAGTGCTAGAATATTGCTGGGTTTTGAACATTGTATCATATTCCGACTTAGCTTACCAGTTTCTCTTTCAAACCAGAAGTACTTGTTGAATATAAATACAGGTGATTATGTATAATGGTAAGTCGGTTTACCAGTAAGTTTATTTTATTGAAATATTAAACCAAGAATCTGCTACATGATAAAATACTTGGTTCAGATGCCCTTAGAAGTTTATTCTGCCTCTGTGTGCCAGTTATCTTACTTCTAGATCAACAGCAAGCTTTAGTATGCAGCTATGCTTATACCAACCAAATGGTGGCTTATGCAGAAACAAATTGCAAAAACTACACTTAAGCAATACTTAATGCATTTTGTATTGGGATATGTGTGTGTGACCGGGGGGCGGGGGTAAAATTAGAGCAGGAGAAAGTGCATATGTCTATGTCAATTTCTGATCTGACCCTTCAGTATGAAAACAGTGTTTCTGTTGTCCATGCAATTTCCACACTTTTTAAATACACAGTCTCTGAGCTACAAACATCCGACTTACAAATGACTTATGGTTAAGAACAGGAGTGAGACAATAGGAAGTGAGAGAAATGTATGCATAAGAAGGAAAATTCATTCCAGGGAGAATTATCATGGGTAAAGGTGTTTCCACCGAAGCTTTCTCACCAATCCTTGTTTCCACAAGAAGCCATTTTTTTCAAAATTCAGTTATCACAGGGACAGAAAGTGAGGTGAAATCTTCTGAGCAGAGGCACAGACAGCAAAACAAACACCATAGGGGTGTTAATCCTTCCCTGTGGTATTCAAAGATAGATAGATAGATAGATAGATAGATAGATAGATAGATAGATAGATAGATAGATATGGCTGGAGTAGAACTTACAATTGTACCTGTTCTGACTTACATACAAATTCAACTTAAGAACAAGCCTCTATAACCTATCTTGTTCATAACTTGGGTATGGCCTGCATACCGTATATACTCATGCATAAGTCAAGCTCGTGTAACTTGGGGGCAAAAATGTGAATTTTGATATGACCCGCAAAAACTCAAAGGTAATTCTACAGAGATGGGATCTTTCAATGACACCTTAGGCTAATGCTGCCATTTTCCCATCCAATCATTCAAATAAGCTGTAAGCAGCACTGTGGAGGAAAGAGTAGAGTGCTTTTTTAAGGTTCTCCCAGAACAAAGTAAGCTTCTCTTTTTGAAGACTTACACATGGGCATATACAGGCAGCCTCCAAGTTATGAACAAGATAGATTCTTTAGGTTTGTTCTTTAGTTCAATTTGTATGTAAGTCAGAATAGTTACAGGTATATGCTAAACATACATAATATATAATTTTATAAAGGACATATTTTGTGAGGTTATCAATTTACAGTAATATAAGATGATCTTCTGTTAAACCAATAAAGTGATTATATTAAGACAACAGTTCTCTTTCCCTGTTTCCTTTCCATCTGTCCTTGCAGATAAATTTAGAGTCCATACTATTTACAGAGTTTAATGTGCCAGAATGTGTACTACCTTAGTGTTGTTGGGGGAAATTTACCCTAAAATATAGCAGAGCATCCAAAAACAAACAAGATACAAAAAACTGAGCATCAGCTCACAGTATGTGAAGTGTGAAGTGCCGTGTGATGTGGCTGTAAAGAATTCAGAACTTAGGAAGCAAACATGCAGAGTACTATCTTTAAAAATCACAAAAATTTTATTTACAATAATAAGAACTAACTACATTTCTTCATAGTAAATAACTGGGCCTGAGCTACCCTAGCACCCATCTTTTCTAAGGTTTCAAGAGAGGAAAAAACTCAATCACTACATTTCACTGATACACACAGAGAGAGAGAGAGAGATCTCAAAGCACACAGCACATACTCCCCATACTAAAGTGTAAAAAGGCAGAAGGCAGATTCAAAAAGCTTGCACTAGAAAAGTATCAATTTTAAACAATCAATCGGAATGAGAGCAGAAAGAGAGAAGAGAGAAGAAAAAGATGCATTCCCAGCTGTCATTCAGGAGACACTAGCTTGGGCACCCAATGATGCCCGGTTATTTGAAAAAAGTATTGTTTGTTTTTGGGTGTTAGGTATTCTCAGTTTGGTGTAGGTGAACAACAATTCCCAAAATCAAGGGTCAATCCTCCCCAAACTCTGCCAGTATTTAGAGTTAGCCATTTTGGGTCTCTGCGCCAAATTTGGTCCAGTCTGGCTGTAGTGCTTCTGGATAAGACTGAACTACAGCTCAGAGATTCCCAAGGAAATCAACCCAAAACCCTGCATGTATTCACTGTTGGCCATGTTGGTTCTGTGCACCAAGTTTGGTCCAGATCCATTGTCAGTTGGGTTTTGTGCTTTCTCGATGAGGGTGAACTATAACTCCCAGATTCCCGGGCTATCTTCCCAAAACATCTGTCAGTATTTACAGTTGGCCTTTTTGAGTCTGTGTGCCAAGTTTGCTCCAGATCCATCATTGGCTGGGTTCAGTGGGGGTTCTGTGTGCTAAGGGGGTGGTCCAGGGCCATCGTTGGTTGGGTCCAGAGTGCTCTTTGATTGCAGGTGAACTATACATCCCAGTATCTACAACTCCAAAAACATTCAGGCCAATTCCCCTCCAGTATTCACATGTGAGCATCTCAGGTATGCGTACTAAGTTTGGTCCAGATGCATCCCTGTTTGGATTCATAGTGCACTCTGGATGTAGCTGAACTACAACTCCTCTAAATTCCTCCAATGACCTCCTATACTTTTTCTTGGTCATGGGGGTTCTGTGGGCCAGGTTAGTTCCAGGTCCATTGTTGGTCGAGTTCAGAGTGCTCTTGGATTGCAGGTGAACTATAAATCCCAGTACCTACAACAGCTATAAATCTATGTGAATTCCCCCTAAATCCCTCCAGTACATTCTGTTGGTCATAGGGGTTCTGTATGCAAAATATGGTCCAGGTCCATTGTCAGTAGGGGTCACAGTTCTGTGTCTTGTTGCAGGGTGAACTGCAACTTCCATCCTGTGGAGTCAGTCCCCCAACCTCCCACAAGAATGTTCAGTTGCTGATCACTTCCTCTGTTTGCTGTGTGCTATAGGAAAAGGTTAAGGGAGAGGCAGTGGGTGGGGTCATGCAAAGGGTTATGGGAGATGCAGTGGGTGGGGCCATGCAAATGAGAGAGAAGGGAATCTGGGAGGTGTCTTTGGTGGAGGACAAACATAAAATCTAGGCTGAAATGCTCTCTACATGAAAGCCTTCACTTGGGTGGTGGGCAGGATGATGTTAGTGGAGGACATTGGCAGGGCTCCTGGACATGTTCATGGTAACCTGCAATGTCAGTTTTGAGAGGGCCATGGGTGTCTTCTGCTCAGTGAGAACTATAGCCTGTTTGTGGAGGCAGGACTCTGTCTGTGTAAGCAGACGTCCTTGCCACGTACACACATACACACATTGTGTATAGATAGATGGGGGAAGGCAAACCCTTTGTCTGTACTAAACTAAGTAACTGCTCATCGTTGAGGACTTGAGACTTGGGCAGTGTGGGGTTGAATTCCAACAAGTATAACCATAACTTGATGCATAACTGTACATCTCCCCCCCCCAAACGTTATTTTTATAACAATACATCTAATGTTGCATATACTTGTTTTTGAAGTAAGGTTTTATATAGCTTACTAAATCTACATATTTTCTTTTAACAGGTACCTGTCAGATGAAGGAATTGAAGCTTGCACAAATTCATCTGACAAAGTCAACATAAATGACATTATCCTGATTGCACTTAATGTAAGTAGCATTTATTAACTTTTCAAACTATTATTCTAAATTTCAGCTGCCATTCATTGTAACCATTCATTCATTAGTTAAATGGTAACAGTACAAAAGGTGGTACTTTATCTATCAAATGTACTAGAGGAAAAAACTAGAAATAATTAAGCCAATCTAGAAGATTCAAAGTTTATATGTTTGGTTTAACGATAAAATTAGTATTGGTTTAGGAGCCTGAATGCAGTATTTTCTGTACTGTTTACCGTGTATATTTTTGCCTTCATATATGTTAAGACAGATCAAGTTTCCAATACAAATTTAACATCCCTTATCTGGATTTCTGAAATACTCAAAAATTGTGCACACGGGTGGCTGAGATAGCTGCTTTCTCATAGTTCAATGTACACAAACTCTGTGTCATGCACAAAATTATTTACAATATTGTACAATATTGTATTCAGGTTATGGTTATAAGGTGTATAGTAAGATCTCCATGTCTGGATGCATTCCCAGCCGTACTCTGATTACCTGAAACTGCAGCTGCAACTGAACACCTTTAAATTACCTCATTTTTGATCTGAATATATCTTAGAGTTGCCTTGAAGGACTTACAAATTCATAAAGATGCAGGCTCTCTAGGGGTTTGGTGAGTCCTTCAGGGCAACACTGTGGTAACTTCTGGAGGACCTTGCAAGTTCTAGAAAAACACCACATTTTTCTGGGTGTAGATAAATGAAATTTCAGATATGGGATACAAGGATCTGAATGTATATGAAGCATACATGAATGTTACGCTTATCTGTGTAAGTATGGGTCTTCTAAAATTTGGGAGTGGGGAAAAGCCCTCAGGAATCCAAAACATTTCTGGTTCCAAGGCTTTTTGATAGGGATATTCAACTTGAATTATTCTTCTAACCACAGTACAATTATCATTGTCTTTGATATTCTGGAGTTTGGCTGGGAAAATGTGTTTTTCCATTATATTATTGAAGTGGAAATGACAGATTTAAACTTAACTGTTTAAAGTCATAGAACAATAGAAACTTCTGTCTGACCATGTTTTTGCTTTTCAAAACAATTGTTCTCAGTCCTGAGTACATTTCCCTCAGTAATTCTTAGGGCAACCAATGTCCAAAATTTCTCTGGAGACTTGTACACCTGCTCCTATTATTTTAAAGTTATTTCAATACTTATTTAATTTGTGGTTGCTGATGCTTTATTTCGATGTGGTACACAGACGCAGAATTCTAAAGCCTATGGAGACTTCATTGTCTCCATAGGATGAGTATGAATTCAGATAAGCATATACTACTGTTACATAGCATTCTATTGGAGTGTCTGCAGAGAACAACATGAACAGGAGAGATTAAGCATACACAGTATTACATCTTTTTTTTGGGGGGGGGGGTCTCTTCTGGGCTCCCAAGACATCATTTAGTGTTCATTGTATATCACTTAAAGCCAGGGAAGGAGCCATGCATTTTTGGGTTGCTTGCACATGCTGAAAAGCTGTTTATGTGGCCTTGAAGAAAGGGCTCAAATCAGAGGATAGAACATAAACTTATCCACAAAATAATTTCAAGGCTCTGCTTGCTAGCAGAGGTCTTGGGATCTAGTTCTGTAACATTGTCAGATGCACTTATGCAACCCCACATACATATTTTCAGTAACAATTGAAAAAAGCAGAAGTTTTATTTTAAAAATATACAGATATTTTCAGCAGTAGAGTAGATGTGAGAAACTTTCACAGTCTTATTGGTATTTCTATAAGTTCTCAAGGAGAGGATAAGAAGCCATGTTTAAACTCCAGCAGTGCTGTGGTTACTATTTTTAAAATTAAAACAAAAATACAGTTTTGGCCAACTTCTCTGTGTTTAGAATAATATTAGACTGAAAACAAAAATATGAAATGTGAACGATTTTATGTTATTATAGCCCATCTGGCACTAAATGCTTTTCTAAAGACAGAGTATCATTTAGATGTGTTTGGTGTGCTAACTCCTACAGGTTTGACCTCTAATTACAAATACATAATCCATTAACCCAGTGGTTCTCAACCTGTGGTCCCCAGGCGTTTGGGCCTACAACTCCCAAAAATCCCAACCAGTTTACCAGCTGTTAGGATTTCTAGGAGTTGAAAGTCAAAACATCTGGGGACCCACAGGTTGAGAACCACTGCATTAACCCATTTTGAGTCTCCTTTGTGGAGAGAACAAGTGGGGTATAAATAAACATCATCATCATCATCATCATCATCATGAAATTCAGGCCTGAATACATTACTTGTCTTTCAAATTTAACATGTCCCTGCTTACATAGGGACCTGTTTAAAAGATTCACTCACTTGTGAAAGTTGTGGGTATAATGGCATAATTTCTTTATTTAAAAAATACTAATTCACAGCCAAAGTATTAATTTTTTTAAAAAAATAGAAATAAAAATTTCTATTTTGACTAATACTAATACAGTGTCATAAAACACTACGTTAAAATATTAGTCACTGACTAAAACACAAAAGCACACCTGAAAAAGTTGAGGATTTACTATAACTATAACTAGATATTAAAACTAAATGTTTTTTTGCTCAAAAAGTGTGTACACAATTTTCAGTTTTTTTTAAAAAAAAATTCAAATAGTTTATTATTTAGGTTGGCAGTTTGGGCTAATTCAGTCACTTAATCCATTGTCTCGTTACTAGTTATTGTGTAAAAGTGATATGCAGAATGCAAAAGAAAGAGGGAAAAAATGAAATGTTCATACCCGTATTTGCTGGATTTTAATACTCACCTTTTTTGACTAAATCACTTTCTCAAAATGAGAGTGCACATTAGATTCATGTAATATGGTAAATACTTTTCTGGATTTCAGGGTTCTGAAAACTGATGTGCCCATTAGATTCTGTGGTGCATTATACTCAAGTAAATATGGTAGTATAAATACATCTGTCCACCAAACCCACCTCCACCCATGACTTCTACACCACTCAATGTGAAACTAATATCTCATTTAAAACACATATCTTTATATTAATAAATTCCCCTCGCGGCTACTTTAAAGTCTACATTTATTTTCCTTTCTAAAAATTCAAATGAAAGCCTCAATTTTCTAACTAAATCTTCATTATTTCCTCCATGAATACAATTGGAGAGTTTGGCCATTTAACTGTAGTTTAATCATTTTCCCCTCCAGTCCTTTATAAGTTACTCTTTCCCCTCTTCCCTCCATGATTTTGCTATTATTAATCTTGCAGCAATTAAACTACGTCTTCTTTATTAATTATTCCACAAAATAAACCTAAGAGATGCATTTCTGGGTTTTACTTAACCTTTTTAGTAATTAGGTTATTTGTTTCTTTACTTACCCCTTTCCAGAATTTTGGAGATGTAAAAGAGAGAAAAATACTTTCTTCCACACTTGGTGGACTTGTAGCCTGATAAAAACTTTTGTTGTTAGTGTTTCAATCCATTTGCAAGTTGGAGCAAACACCATTCTTGCTGTTATTATCATATATTGGAGGAGTAGGTCATATTTATTATCCCATTTTGTAGCCATAATGCCCATTTCTGATAGCATTGCAAAGTCTATTTTTAAATTCATTTGGATTAATGGATAAATCTCAGACAAATAACCGTTTATTTTCTTACATGTGGAGCCCCCCTGTGGCACAGTGGGTTAAACCACTGAGCTACTGAACTTGCTGACCGAAAGGTTGCCAGTTCGAATCCGGGGAACGGGATAATTTCCTGCTGTTAGCCCCAGCTTCTGCCAACCTAGCAGTTCAAAAACATGCAAATGTGAGTGGATCAATAGGTACTGCTCCGGCAGGAAGGTAATGGCGCTCCATGCAGTCATGCCGGCCACATGACCTTGGAGAGGTCTACGAACAACGCCAGCTCATCGGCTTAGAAATAGAGATAAGAGCCAACCTCCAGAGTCAGACACGACTAGACTTAATGTCAGGGAAAAACCTTTATATATTTATATATATTTTTGACAGCTTATTTGGGGTTAGATACCATTTCATACATGTTTTCTTTTGAATTTGATGCCCAAATTTTGGGCCTACCATATCATGTAATCTTTTACAGGTTCATCCTACTTATAGTTTCGAGAGATATTTGTACACTTTTAAATCATTGTTACATAGTATTGGATAAAACTTATTTTCCCCAGCCTCTATGGCTAGAGCTCTCTTGAATAAATCTATCCTAGATTTGTAGATTAGCGAACAAGTTAAGATCTTTGCCGTCCTTGAAAAGCATCTGTCTTGAGACATTTGCTTTGTCTGTTACAAAGGAATAGGTTATTACCTTATTGTTTCTAATGACAAACTACATAATAATAAAAATATTATATCTTTATTTATACCCCGCCACCATCTCCCCGGTGGGGACTCAGAGCGGCTTACATGGGGCCAAGCCCAGACAACATTACAATGAAATGAAACACAAACATAAACGACAATCATCATCATCATCAAAATTACATTGGAAGAAAAAAAACCATGTTTTTTTTCCTCCTGGTTTTATCTTGGGAAACAGTATTAACACTATTTTTTATTTTAAATGTAGACAGACTTAAGAGCCATTGGAAAGAAGTTCCTCCCTAATGACATCAATGGTGGAAAGGTGGAAAAGGTAACACAATTTATTGTTGCTATAATTGTAGTTGTGTACTTGGGCTATTCCGCTATTCTCAACAAGTAGGTTGGACTTTCTCTGTGTCTTTTTGTCCTGGCCTAGTTCACCAAAGTCCCACCCATGTTCTTCTCCACGGAATCTCCTGACAGTTATTTGAAGCCAGATATCTAGTTTTTTATTATTATTTATTGCTTCCTATCACTTGGCATAGCCTGGCACACTATTAGCACAGGTATGGCTTTAAAGTGATCAAGGCTATTAACCCATTTAAGCTAGTTTGAAGTAAACGTTTTATCTCAACTATTGATGTAAGTTTATCAGAAAAATCTTAAATACATAAAGACATATAGTATATATGGTATAAACAGCTCCTATTTTCCACCTGATGATTTATCATATAGTTATTGAAATGGCACCAAAACAGTTTTTTTTTCCAAATAATATAGCACTGTGTACTTGAAGATATTTTAATTATGCTTTTATATGAATGTTTGTTTGAGTTTTCCATTACACACACACACACACACACACACACACACACATACTCATCCTGTTAGAAGCAAATTGACATTACAATTATAATACATAAAAAACCACAAACAAAGTTAAAAACTTGGCATTATACTAAATTTCCTTTGACCAGAAGCTGGTCGTCATGTCGATTGCCTCTGGTGTCACTGTAAGGAAGTCCTCCATTGTGCATGAGGCAGGGATCAGGCTGCATTGTAGTAAGTGATTTGTGGTTTGTTCTTCTCCACATACGCATGTCATGGACTCCACTTTGTAGCCCCATTTCTTAAGATTGGCTCTGCATCTCTTGGTATCAGAGCATAGTTTGTTCAGTACCTTCCAAGTTGCCCAGTCTTCTGTATGCCCAGGAGGGAGTTTTTCATCTGACTCTTGCTTGCTGTGGTGTTCCTACAAGTGTTTCTGTAGATCAGTGGTTGCCAACTTTTGGTCTTCCAGGTGTTTGGGACATCACCTCCCTGAAATCCCAGTCATCATACCAGCTGTTAAGAATTGAGGGAGCTGAAGTCCAAAACACCTGGAAGACCAAAGGTTGGCAACTACTGCTGTAGATCTTAGAAAAGTATTTATTGATTTAAGATGTTGGCATGCTGTCTGATATCTGAACAGAGGATGGGATGGAGATGTCAATGCCTTGGACCTTTCTTTACTGGCTACTTCCCGACAAATATCAGGTGGTGCAATACCAGCTAAACAGTATCATTTCTCCAACAGCGTAGGGCATAGACATCCTGTGATAATGCGGCATGTCTCATTAAGAGCCACATCCACTGTTTTAACGTAGTGAGATGTATTCCACACTGGACATGCATATTCAGCAAAGCACCAGGGCAGATGTCTTCACTGTGTCTGATTGTGATCCCCAAGTTGTGCTAGTCAGCTTTCGTATAATATTATTTTCAGCACCCACTTTTTGCTTTATAATGAAGCAGTGCTTCTTGTAAGTTAGAGCACGGTTTAGAGTAACTCCCAGGTATTTTGGTGTGTTGCAGTGCTCTAGTCGGTTTCCTTCCCAGGTAATCCTCAGATATTATTATCAATGTATAATAATCAAAATTTGGATAAATGTAATTTCCTCATACATATATAATAAGCTTTCCTCTATACAGTGGTTCCTTACCTGTGGTCCTCCAGGTGTTTTTTTTTTTTTTTTGGACTTTAGTTCCCACAATTCCTTTAGTTCCCTTTACAATTCCTGGTAAACTGGCTGGAATTTCCAGGAGTTGAAGTCCCAAGCATCTGTAAGACCAAATGTTTGGAACTACTGCTCTATAGGATAAAGGTTGGGAAACATTAGAAATACAGTTTTTCATAGAGCTGAGAAGCATGAATTACAAACCTCAGCCACAAGATGGCCGTGTTTCATTATGTTTGAAAAGAATGGCTATATATATAGAGAGAGAGAGAGAGAGAACAGCAGACCACATTGTAAATAGAGTTAAAACGTGCAAATCATATTCATTTGAAGATAAAAGGGAAATGTAATTATTAATTTGAACTATCTTCAATTAGCACTTTTCATGACACTTTTAGTTTATATAAACAAATAAATTAAGATGAACGATCTTGGTCTTTCCTGCGACACACATATGTTTGTGTAGTAAAGTTTTGGAGCTGAGCTAATAAAATTGTTGGGTTATGAAGTAAATGTTGAAAGACAGTATCTGGGTAAGTCCTTGGAGTGGAGGAGTTGCATAAGGAAACTTTGAACTGAGATACACTATTAATTTCCAGGTTGATTTTATATTTTGCGCATCTGTGGATATAAGATGAAGATGAGCACTTTGACAGTGAGATCCAGAATGTGAGCAAAACAAATATTTTGGCAGACCCAAGAATTTGATTATTTTTATGAAATGTTGACTCTGCTTTCTTCTTTAGAGTACATGCTTCAAAGGGCTTTGGAAAGCTGTCAGGTTCAAAGACAGTTTCCTTGAGCCATGGTAAGAAGTAGTGATGTTTGAAAGAGAGTCCAGATTACACTATGTAACACAATTTTTGTTCCTGGGTTATAAATGTCATTTTCTAATACATTCTATCATAAAAACATGAAAAAGGTTTATTAAACTGCAAAAACCTTTTTGCGGTCTGCACATTAAAAGGTTTAAAATGGCATATTTGCATTAGGAAAATTACAAAGGCAGTGCATAGACTGAAGGAAATAATAGTATTATCCTCCGCCACAAAACCGAAGTTTCTGGAGTATAACAACTACTTTCAAAGTCAGTACTGCACAATTAAACAGGAAACAACACTTTCAAATTAGAAAAAGAAAATATTTCAAATTTTGTTACATAGTGTTACTTTTCTATATATAGGACTAGTTTTTCAGGTTAATTCAGATATGTTTTACGAAAACTGGGCCATATCCATAGCTAGGCAATACTGGCAATATTATATCCATAGATGAACAATACCCAAAGCTGATAATAAAAATGTTTTCCCTAGCATGACAATGCAACCTAAGAGTTTTAGGCATTCATTCATTCAATCAATCATTTCAAAAGTCAATGAGAGCAAGAGTTCTTCTTTTCAGTCAATTGTATCTAATTCTTCCTTGTGTATGTGATCCCTGGATTGCTACTTTAATGTTTTCTAAGTCTCAGATTGATTGAAGCAGTGTTTTGTTCACCTGGAAATGATAGACCCATTCTGGCCATAAAGAAGTAGTTGTCATTGAAGGTCTAGGTGCTAACATATTAAAAACTCTTTGTTGCACCATAAAACTGTCTGGACTTGACTTTGGCCAATTGTAGAGGACCTCTAAGGCTTAAATATACTTGTTATTCCCGGCTAAAGTGCATGCATTGAATCAATTATAACTTGGCAAATCAATATTTGTGTCAATTCCATTGATTCAGTCCTTCTACTCTAGTTGGCTTTAGGAATTGGATTTAGGCCTAAGGGCTGCTTGGAATTCTGAAGGCTTCACATTGTTGTTTTTTTCTCTCCATTTGGAAAATGTTTATGTGTATAACAAAACAGTTTTCCTTAGGATTTATCTTTGTTTATGGTTGGAAAGAGTTCTATATTAACCTTGGCAGTGACTTTGTTAAAAAACACAATGTCTTGGGAAGGTAGGGCAAGGTAGGCTTGTGGTTACTTGACAGAATCCACTCCTATGGTGGTACCCAAAATAGAGCAGAACAAATAAATACTTTTGTCCTTCATCTTCACAGCTAGAAGGTCCCTGTGTTCTGCAGATCCAAAAAGTTCGCAATATAGCTGCACCAAAGGACAATGAGGAATCTCAGGCTGCTCCCAGAATGCTGCGCTTGCAGATGACGGATGGGCACACAACCTGCACTGCGATAGAATATAATTACATGTCAAAAATAAGGTAAGCAGTGTTTGTTTTTGCTTTACAGTGACATTTTTTTGAATAAAATCTTTTTACAACCTTTTTTCACTTCTGTTATGTTTCTCCAAGAACATCATTGGTTCATCTGTATAGAACAGTGGTTCTCAACCTCTGGGTCCCCAGGTGTTTTCGCCTACAACTCCCAGAAATCTCAGCCAGTTTATCAGCTATTAGGATTTCTGGGAGTTGAAGGCCAAAACATCTGGGGACCTACAGGTTGAGAACCACTGGTATAGAAATACACAAGTACATTGTGAAGTACTTTGTGAAGGACATTTTAAAAATAATAATTGAATTACAAAGCCTTAGGATCAACATATTAAATGTATATTTGTTCACATTCCTCTGGCAACTTTGTGACAGAGTTTAGGGAATTATATAGAATTTGATATAGGGCACTAACAGTAGACTGGTTCTATTTAGTGTGTAAAGTGGAGTGAATTTCATTACTACCATTATGCTGTTTTCATAAACCCTACTTGAATAGGATTGGTATTAATTGATATTTAATTTTTTGAGGGTGTGCAGAAAAAGAGGGAATGCTTCTTGACAAATATGAAGGTGCTCATAAATCATTCTCTCAGGAAGAGGGTAATGTTAATGAGATTTTTTTTTGTTCTGTGTGAATTTATAGTTTTTCAAGTTTCTTACTAAGGTATCATGTTTGAATCTACGTGAGTTTGACACACGTAACCTAGTCAATGTAGCATCTTTCTGGATTGAGATGGGAGCCCAAGTTCTTGATCCCTTTCTTGCCATTTTTGACTAATGCTGGAAACCATGTGGGAAAAATTGGCATAGGTTCCTCAGCAGCCTATGCTGAGTCTCAGCAGCCTATGGAGTGCTGTCAAAATGCGTTTTGTAGCTCTGGATTCTCACTTGGCAGAGAAAATGCTGTGTGATGCATATTGTCACTGTGGAAATAGATAGGAGTGAGAGCAGTAATCAAACACTGCCATTCCTACTGCAGATCAACATAAGAGATATCAAGGTAGACCAAAGTTTGGAAATGTGTTGTCTCTTTTCTCAGAGAACAATCACAGAACTATTTTGGCCTCTTTCCTACAGCACTTGCTTTGATCCTATTCTTTTCATTCCAGTTTTAAAAGCCTGACAAGAGGTACCCAATGAAATAGCATTGATATACAGTTGTCTTTCAAAATGATAGATCTCTCTCTTCATTTCTTTTGCTTACAAAAGTGTACTTTTAAATCCCCAGGTTCTGCTATTTTGTTGTTTTTAATTAACAGCTTCGGGATTTTGTCTTCTTTTGGATTATTTTCCTTTTTTGGGCTGCAGTTCAGTTCATCAGATTTATAAAGTGTCATCCTGAGCTACATGGTTGCAAGGGAAATGGGGAGAGTGAATTGAGATGTCAGAGAGAACTTTATGCACATAAAGAAAGCACAAAAAATGACAAATTATCTAGGGGTAGCCATGTTGACTGTTCGCCAAAACAAAATATAATCCACCAAAGAGTGATGTGTAACAAAATGCAGAAAACACACAATGTAAGCTTTCAAATCTCTCCTGGCTTCTTGTGTTTATAACACACAGTCAAGGTCTAAATCAGTAGTTCCCAACCTGTGGTCCATGGACAATCAGTGGTCTGCAAAAAAGAAAATGTGGTCAGCGATCTCACTATTACTATACCATTGCCTCAAAACCACACAGCAATGAGAGCGACTGGCCTCACAAAACCTTACATTGCCAAGGCAATGAGGATGTTGGGAGAGGCTGACTACCCACAAAAGATTACTATTACCACATCAGCTCTAGATTATTAAATATGGTTTTCTGTGGGTGAGCAGATGGTGGCTACTGGATGGCATGTGTTCTGTATTAGAAACTAGAACTGATGTGGTCTATCCAATGCAGTTTTCTAAATCAGCACCCCAAATAACCAGACCAAATCTAAAGTTGGCCAAAAACTGATTTGTAACTCTTTTGGATTGGAGAGTCGCCCCTGGTCAAAAAAGGTCTAAATCCTCTGTATTTCATTTCTTTCTGACCCCACTATTTATTTCATTGCATTAATTCTCAACTGTGCACTTCATGTAACTAATAAGTGAATTGGAAGTTAGTACTGAAGCAGTTTTGAAGCTATTAGTTGTTTTTGCTTCAACATGATTCTTTATCTGGATATGTCTTGATTAAATATGGTCTCTTTCTTTTTTTATTCTAAATAACTAATATTTTTCCTACATAAAAAATCGAGGCCTGGTTATAAGATTTAAATTACTTAATGTATTCCCCAACTCTCAGACACACTTTCCAAATTTAGTTTCCAGAATAAACCCTAAAGGAAGAAACAAAAAAAAACAACCCACCAGACCTTACAAAGAGATGAAATGTAAGAAAACAGTGGTATAGAGGCTGGAAAACAACCACAATATACCTAATTTGGGGTCAGGACACACAGTTTAAGAAGCAGTGTTCTAGATTTGCACAGATACTAGCCAAGGAGTATTGAAAATTGAGTTACTGACTTTTACATTTTTGGTTTGAGTTTTTAACTTGGACCAACATCAATCACTGCAGCCAAAAGTAGATTACAAGTTTCCTATTTCGCTGATCCCGTTTAGATAATATAGGTATTGTTTAGGGTTCTGCTTTTTCCCATTACAGTATGGCTTATTTCTGAATCCCTAGATTTCATGGAAAGGGTCTATGCTTTCATTCCTGCAAGACCACAGGTGTTCATATCCTACTGCAATTCCATTGAGCAAAGCATCTCACTTTTGGAAGGTTATGTGTACAATAACATCCTAATTCTATATATTTCATGTGGTGTTCATCTGTTTTCAAGAACGGGATTAGTTCACGCCCAGATAATCCTGAATTTGAACATCAGTTTTGAAGTGATTGAGAGTTGATTTTCTTAATTTATTCTGTCAGTTTGATAGATGAGTATAACAGCTGCAATCTGACAACATAATGATTGATATTTTGTAGATGTTGCAGCCTTGAAACTGCAGTTTATGTTTACCTTTTTTGACACTGAACAATGGATACACTTGATAAAGTGTAAAGTAAAACATGTTCTCAAGGAGTGCTGTCAGAAGCAATCTGGAGATGGATTCTTAAGCCTCTTGCATAAAGCGATAGCACTGGGCTGTACATCTTCTCTTGTCTTCTGGCTGCCTCCTAAAATACAGATACAGGTTCTATATAGCTACAGTGAATTCTTTCTGGTGATGATATAACAAATTACTGTGAAAATATTTCTGCACAACTGGAAAAGTGCTGTAATTCACATTTTTGAGCAAGTTAAGTAATTGAGAAACTGTACAGCTTGAGTGCATATAAGATATTTGGAATAACATATCTTTAATAACACTGTATTGTGTTGTCCAATTAACTTGTGAATACTTTTCCTATGTGTAGCCTGAACACGCCACCTGGAACAAAAATTAAATTGCTGGGAATCGTGGAAGTGAAAAATGGCTTCCTTCTTCTGGATGAAAGCAACACGGTGATTCTTGGAGGTGAAGTGGAACATCTTATAGAAAAATGGGAGTTGCAAAGGGTGAGGTAACATGATGCTTTCCTTATCTTAAGCTGAATGAGAAATTTCAGATAGCTTTTAAAATATATTTAAATGATGAAACATTGTGGTACAGTAAAATTTTTTAGAAAGACCTACCTATTATTAAAAAGCATGATAAGTGATCATGAATACAGTGAAACCAGTGCTAAGCATAAGGGCCCAGAGAACAAATGAATGAAAATGATAGATTCAGAAATAGACTGCCTAGGAAAAGCAACACAGAGTAATAACCAATAGCTACGTAAGAGTCATTTTAGAAGAATAATCAGAAATATGTAAAGTACAATCAGTGTAATAATGTAGAAATGCAAATAAAATGGATGAACATCACCATATCAGCTGTTCTAAAATGTGCATACACACATTCCAGTCAATTGAATAGGCAGTTCAATAGTGTAAGAATGTGAAACAACAAACAATATTGTGAGTAGGATATGTAACAGTCATTCAGTCTGCATTTGTGTAATCATTTCAAGCCATCAGTATGATGATAAATACATTATTGAAAAAGGTGGATAAAAAGCATAGGTTTCAAGCCTGATTCCTTAATATAGTGATAAATATCAGCGCCTGAAAAAAGTAGCTGAATATTATAGCTTTAAAATCCAAAGCTGTGAATAATATACTCCTACATCCCACAAGAAATAAGCATCTTTGTTTCGGCTATGGTTTACCAGCCTGATATTTAAGACAGTTTAATCCAAAGCACAGTCTGTGTGCTACCTTCCATTGCTACTGCTAAAAATCTTCTGTTCTTAAAGCAAAACAGGCATTTTAAAAGGTAAAAGTCACATTTTGAACTATTTTAGTGCTTCCAATCACTTCTGTTTTCTAAATAAAGTTTTTGTAAAAAAAATTCAAAGATAGTGAGGCATACATCAGATGACAAGATGGGATTAACTGGTCCCTGGATCTGCCATTTTTTTCACTTAATATCATTGTTCACTTCTGTCTTGGATACAATTTAAATTCTCAGACATTTTAAGCCCATTTTTTTCTGGAAAAATTAGTGGGAAATGGGTTTACTGTGGAATATTTCCTTTCAAATGGTGCATAAAATATTTAGTGCCTCCATTATTTCTAAAAACGGTGTATGCAACACTGAAATCCCTAGTCTTGGTTTCCATTTCATAGAATTATGGAGTTGAAAGAAACCTCATGAGGCATCCAGTTCAACTCCCTGCCAAGAAGCAAGAAAATCACATTCATAACACCCTGAATAGATGGCCATCCATCCTCTGTTTAAAAGCCTCCAAAGAAGGAGCCTCCACCCCACTCCAGGGCAGAGAGTCCCACTGCTGAACAGCTCTCACAGTTAGGAAGTTCTTCCTGATGTGCAGGTGGAATCTTCTTTCCTGTAGTTTGAAGCCATTGTTTCGCGTACTAGTCTCCAGAGCTGCACAAAACGAGCTTGCTCCCTCCTCCCTATGACTTTGCTTCACATATTTATACATGGTCATTATGTCTCCTAAGCCTTCTCTTCTGCAGGCTAAACATGCCCAGCTCATTAAGCTGCTCCTCATAGGGCTTGTTCTCCAGACCCTTGATCATTTTTGTCACCCTTCTCGAGACACATTCCAGCTTGTCGACATCTTCCTTCAATTGTGGTTCCCAGAACTGGTCACAGTATTCCAGATGTGGTCTGACCAAGGCAGAATAGAGGGGTAGCATGACTTCCCTGGATGTCGACACTATACTCCTATTTATGCAGGCCAAAATCCCATTGGCTTTTTTAGCTGCTGCTTCACAGAAAATCAAAACTGCTCCCTTGTAGTTCAGGTAATTCATGCTTGTAGGTCGGTCTCCAACAAAACAATAACATTAACGCTCTACTTTTAATATGTCAAATAGTGGTTTAATAATAATAATAATAATAACAACAACAACAACAACTGTATTGGTACCCTGCTACCATCTCCCCAAGGGACTCGGTACGGCTTACATGAGGCCAAGCCCACAATACATCAATAAACGAAGGCAATAACAAATAAGCAATACAAAACAGTTATAATAAAACTCAAAAACAAAAAATACACAATAAGCAATAAACAGTAACAATAACATACAAGCATTTAAAAACCTGTGGCCAGACCAAATGTAATAACTAAAATTTAAAATAATGCTGGGCATGAACTAAGTAGGGTAAACTAGGATAGGGGTTTCAAGAAAGATGAGGGTGTGCAGACAATGCCAAAATAAATCACACATGGTGCGTTTTATTTGTTCTTAAAGAAACTAAGTAACTTAAAATCTCTAAAGAGTGCTAATATACATTTTTCATTATTATTTTGAAATAAAACACTATGGCTTTGTAATGTTCTGAAAATTCTACATCTCTGATCTAGATATTTTATGTAGTTCTGAAACAATCATTAAACTCCACAATAAAGATAATTGTGTTGAAGTTACAAGCTGAGATTAAATGATTCTGTAATTGTATGTTGAGAGCACAGGGTCTGTGTTGTATTCTGATTCTGAGAACTTGCTAAATTATTTCAGGTTAGCCATTAAACTGAGTATCCTCCAAAATAGCAATATAGGAATAATAACTACTAACATGAGGTAATACATGTTGACTGATTTGATCTTTTGAAATCACTGTATTGATCATAATGGTCACCATGATCAAGAGCTGAAGATGACAGTACATAACATTATTTACCCCGGAAATGCAATTTAGTTATTTATGTAAATGAAATTTGTTCACTAACTGTATCTTGCTCCTTTCCCCATATTTTAGAAGATACACCAGTACTGCTATTGTTCACAGATAACAACCTAGCATAAGAGAGAATTCTATCTTATGGATTGCAACCCTTGTTCTACTGGTTTGTCTTTCCCAAACAAGATAAGATTCAGAAAAAGAAAAACCCAGTAAACCAAGTCTGAAAATTCTTGTTTGTCAGACTCAGTACTAAGCTTTCGCTACCTGATCAGTTTTGGTTAATGTACTCATTTCCGTGTGAAGTAATCAAGACTGACTGACATCCTGTTCAAAAGAAAGCAGCCAGAATACTCTGCAGTTCTGGCTTATTAAATGAGGTCACCGAATTATGCTAATTAAACTTTTGAGATGGAGAAGTTATTAGTATATCTTGCTGTCTAGCACTGACTTATGTTTTTTGGGCACTGCCTTTGAACTGCTATATCCCCATGTGGAAATAGAGTTGTTCTACAACTGTATGCTCCGCATAGAGTCTAGTTTGCATCCTAAATTTAATTCAATCCACAACACTTTTTATTGTAAAATTACCGTATGGCTTTCTTTAAAGAAATGAACTGTCGGTTTTCCAATCTGAAAAGCCGTAGTTATTTTGATTGCTTAGGAGGTCTTCATTCTCTCTTTGGATGTTTCAGTGTTCATATGAAACATCTGTGAGAAAGGGAGAACAGGTCTTGAGAAATATGCATGAAACATCTGTGGCCCAAATAAACCTCATAAATAAGTTGGTAGGTACAGGGAATGGTAGGTAGGAGGGGGAAAACTTTCTCATACCTCTTACTGCAGTATTGAAACAATGCCAAGGCTGTTCAGGTTTTTTTCTTGCCAGTTAATGAAAACATTGCTTCATTTTACAGAGCTTATCAAAACACAACAGAAGTAACATAGGAACAGAAGGTGGACCTCCTCCCTTTGTGCCTTTTGGGCAGGTATGGTGGATTTTTTAGTAGACTTTAATCTATGTAATATAACTTTTAAAACTAGTATTAGTTTTGAACAGTGACATTAGTTCAATGTAGTACTACTTTGAAACAATACAAATTATTGTTATTTTGGTTTTAACTCAGTTGTTATTCTAGGATATCATAGCATTACACGTAGTTCCCGAGTTACAGATATCTGACTTACAAATGACTCATAGTTAAGAATGGGGGTGAGACAACAGGAAGTGAGAGAAATCTACTTTTAGGAAGGGAAATCCATTTCTGAAAGTGTTATTATGTAGAAAGGATGTCTCCAATGAAGCCTTCTCAACAATCCTTGTTTCCTCAAGCCAGCTTTTAAAAAAAAGAAAATCCAATTATTACAGGAGCAAAAAGTGAGGCAAAATCTTCTGAACAGAGGCTCAGTTAGCAAAACAAATGTTACAGGGGTGTTAACCCTTATACTTCCCAAAGCGTGTGTGTGTGTGTAGTTATTGTTAAAAATATACCTGTTCTGACTTACATACAAATTCAACTTGAGAACAAACCTACAGAGCCTGTCTTGTCTGTAACCCAAGGACTGCCTGTATAAAGGGTTAAACAAAGCTACAAATGCCACAGTATTCAACATTTTTGTATAAGAAACATGGACTCTCTGAAATCTAGTTTTCATTTAGAGCATGACGCAGTTTGCAATTCCACTGTCACATCTGTTTGTGGTTTTTCACAACAAAAATACCACAGAGTCCTACTTCAATACCAGAGTCTTGTTGGGCAAATGGGCTTATTAACTAAAGACCATCCTCATAAATGCACAACACAGTAACTTATCAGCAGCAGTGTGAACCAGCACCAGTAGCCCAAAATGATAAAAAGAATAAAAATACACAGACCAATGTTATCTCTTCCCTACGAGGCTTTTCTTTGTATTAAAATAATATAGTTGCACTATTTACAATAACAAGGTTTCCACAACACAAATAAAGTCCTTTATACTTATTTGCTTCCATGCTGGGCTTCTTCCTCATGCAGATAAACAGCTTCACTCTCACAGAGCCTCCTCTCATAACAAACTTACACTGGCGCTTCCTGCAGTAGCCTTTTATACACAGCAGCCTTTATACTGGAGTTTTACACATGAGACTTTATACACGAGGCCTTCAACCTGGAGCGTCTTTCACCAAAGCTTCTCAGAGACATAAGGTCTACCTCACACAGAGGCTTCTCTCACAGACGAAGGCCTACCTCACACTGTTAGGCCTTTCTTCCACAGACGAAGGCCTTTCTCCCACTAAGGTTTATTTACCTCTGACCGATGGCTACTAAGCTACAGGCACACCTGCTTATATAGAACTGCAGCTTTTGCTGAGTCATTGCATTAATTTAACCCTTTCAGTGCTTGACTCACATTTTTGTAGTTAAAAATACCTAGTTACTTTTTAATATTTCTGACAAGCCTCTCATATGAGCTGCTGACATTCATTCTCTTCTTGCCTTGGCTGAAAGATATAGTCTTTCTCTTTTCCTCTGTCTGCACTCCTCATAGAGGAAGTCTCATATGTTGTTATTTTCTTTTCCAGGTGGCTAAGCTTTTACTATTTTGTTTTTGTTTTGTTTTTTTCAAATTACAGATCCACCTTGATTTTGGGTGGCTTCTTAATCCTCCCATACAGCTCTTGCCTTCCAATAAAGGAATATATATTTCCTCATCTAATAACATGATTGGGTGTTGGAAACATTAATTGGACATCCTTATGAACCTTGTGAGGGTAAATTGCCCCTCCACTCCAATCATTATTTTTTTAAAAAAATTACTCCCAGTACAGTTGCCCCGCTATATCCCCAACAGTGAAAATGTTATGGTTCACTGGATCTTCTTTTTTCTCAAATGTTAATCCATGCATGTTAATCCATGCAAATTTCCAAGAATGAATTATATTGCCTTCTTAGAAGAATCAGCTTTAATTGAAAACAGCTATTCAGGTGAACATTTTCATCCTTTACAAAGCTAGGGGCAGAATTTAGACAACTTAAAAATCCTCTTTTCCCAAGTTCCATAAACTATACATTGTAGAGTGCATTGTCTGCAGGTTACTTTTTGTATTTTCCGTGCAGATAAGATGGTATCTCCCCTGTCATGTCTATGGCATCCAGTGAAGAAACCTCTGGGGTGGCAGCACAGGGTCATCTTTCTTACAGCTCTAAAGGTCTCTGGTTTGGCATCTGCTGAAGCAGATTTTGAGCAAAGAATTCTCCAGTGCCTTATACAACCCAGAATCAATCATCTTGTTCTCTCCCTTGTTCCTTGCCTTGTATAGAAAGAACAGAGAATGTATTTAACTGTGAATGTTCCTATGGCTTTTTCAGATATATTGGGGGAAGGGCTTTCCCTGCCAACTAACTCATCTGCCTATCTATTTTCTTGATGAGAACCATAAACTTGTGTAGGAAGCAGTTGAATTCCAGCACACATGTCTTGGTCATAGTTTTGCAATCAATTAAATGACAATGAACAAGTTTATAGATTCTGCTACAGGCAAAGATACCAGCAAAGAGAGTAAACCACATAAATCACACCTCCCATCTGCCCCAAATTTAACAAGCAGTCTGGCACAGAAAGAATATTCTTTCTCCTCTGTGGGCATTTTTTGGACAATAGAAACAGCAGAAAAAAGACTGAAAAGTGTCCTCTCAGAATTCAAAAGTAGCTAAATATCCCAGTTGGAAGCCAGGTGCCCACTTCTCATCATTTTCTTCCTTATAGTGGAGGTTGAGCAACTTGTCATCGTCATGTGTGTTTGTAGTCATGAAAAAATACCCAGTTTGTTATGGTTTTTGCCATTCCTCTTTGTCAATCCAAGAGGTAAATAATTTTAATCAGAAGGTGAAAGAAACATGGACTAATTGGGCTGTTTGGGCTTCCAAAGTGTTCTGGTTCTGTGAACTGCATAGTACTGAGCTAAAATCCAACTTTTATAAGTTTCTGGCAAGTATTTTAAAACTACTTCCCCATTTTTAGAGATGTGCATCGCAGCTGCAAGTGGACAGCAGGGAGCTGGATCGGAGAAAAACTCTGCAAGTGACAAGTGTGGCTAAGCCTGCTGGAGACAATGATGAATTTGAAAAACAACGAACAGCTGCTATTGCCGAAGTAGCAAAAAGCAAAGAGGTTAGAATAAATGGTTGTATCAGTATTGGAGGTTCTGGTGGTTTTTATTGTTGTTTTAATCTAGGAAGGAGCCGTAATGAAAGGTTATGTCTATAGCTGCATTTTCCTCTATTAGTGTGAAGGAAGAGATGTGAAGTTAGCGGCTATGGTCCAATGAGGTAAATTATCCAGGGAAAGGAAAGTGTTTCTAATGCAGTTTGGGAGTTTGGTATTAGGAATGGCAGAAAAGGAGAACATCCAGTACTTTAAATGTACACAAATACATTGTGTTTATACATATGTGGTATTTTGTCATTTAAATGAATAAAAACAGCTGTATTTGTTCTTGAAAAATGGCTTTAATTTTCCCTCAATACCAGTACTTCTTTTCCTAAGGGAAAATGGGAAGATGATTTAATTATTCAGGTTATGTACACATACTCACACATCAGCTAAAAAAAACTTCAAAAGATTGTAGTGTATGTATGTGCTTCATCTACACTGCCATATAATGCAGTTTGAATGAATTATATGGTTGGTGTAGACACATATAATGCAGTTCAATGCAGTTTAATTGCTTTATATGAACCTACACTGGCCATATGGTGCAGATTCAGACTGCATTATGTAGCAGTGTAAATGGGGCCATAGACAATGTCTTGTTAGCTCTAAGATATGTTGGGTTGCTGTGAGTTTTCCGGGCTGTGTGGCCATATTCCAGAAGCATTCTGTCCTGACATTTCACCCACATATATGGCAGGTCTGTGAGGTTTATATATCTGGAATGTCCAGGGACATTCCACACATTTATAAACCTCAGTTGCCTAGTTTTCCAACAGACCTCACAACCTCTGAGGATACCTGCCATAGATGTGGGCGAAACATCAAGAGAGAATGCTTCTGGAACATGGCCATACAGCTCGGAAAATTCACAGCAACCCAGTGATTCTGGTCATGAAAGCCTTTAACAACATACTCTTAAGATATGTTGTTTAGACAGTGTGTGTCACCTGGCCTCTTAGATGGAATATATCAGAAAGAACACATGTCAAATTGTATGAAGAAAACTAGTTTTGTTAATCAAGATACAGTGATCGAAAGCTATATTGATTCAAACTGAATTTACCTGTGTAGTATGTACTGTTACTTCATTACTGTTTCTAATTAATTTATTCCTTCAATAATTCTAAGCTTCTGTATTTCATTTTATGGCATTTTACTGTTATTTACAGCCTTTCTCCCAAATATGTCAAAAAATACATTTTCAGGCTGAATTTTCCATTTATATGTATAGAACTAAACAGGTGTGACACTAAAACACATTTCTCTTCTCTAATAAAGACCAAGACATTTGGAGGAGGTGGTAGCAGTACGCGAAGCAATCTCAGTGCAAATGCAGGAGGGAATCGAAGCAGAGAAGTCTTCCAAAGAGAGAAGATGAAACCTGAGGGGAAAAATGAAGGTGTCTATCGAGAACTGGTAAGGCTTGGGATCTCCAAATTTGAAACACTGTTTTCTACAAAGATTAAAGATTCTCAATACCATTCTTATGTTTGTGTAGAGGAACAGAGATTGCTTTTTTCAGCTTCGTTCTGGCTATTGCTATGGTAGACTTTAAAAAGGATTGTACAAACCCCCCAAAACATCACAGAAATGGGTTTTAGCAAGGAAGCAGCGAAACTTCTGACAACTGTTTAGTTTGATTTTTATAAAGAAAATTAACCATATTTCAGCCATATATGCTTGCATTAGTAATAGTTCAATGAAGTACGCTTCTATTGCCATTTATATGCAAATTAATTTATCTTTTCATTTACTATTAATATTCATTTAAAACTAATTCTTGATTCAGTTGTATTTTGTGATTGACTTTTGTTCTTCTCTCTCTGACAGGTTGATGAAAAGGCTCTGAAACACATCACAGAAATGGGTTTTAGCAAGGAAGCAGCAAGGCAGGCATTAATGGATAATAGCAACAACCTTGAAGCTTCATTAAATTTTCTTCTGAACAGCAATAAGCAAATGACTGTTCAAGGGCCTCCCATTAGAGGTATGACTGGAAAGGCTATCTTACAGAAGCATTTGCATCAGGACAAATTACTCTGAACTGCAGCTCAAAAATATTGGCAATTTTCTCTGCAAATGGTTCACAAAATCATTACTTGAAATTCCTTTCTGATGTACACTGCTGTTGCTGTCAATGGGTTTAAACATGTGCCCCCCAGCAGAAAGAGACTAAAAGGTAGAGAAGGAAGAGCTAAAGCAAAAATTGAGGAGTTGTCTGTTTCGGCATATGTCAAGAGTGATCTGTCCATCCCCTGCTCATTAGACAGAAGTTGAAAAATAGAAATGGGTGACCTAAAGAGAGAAAGAAGAGCATTTGGAATAAGGGGACAGATGACAACGTGCACATTATCCCAGAAGAATGTCACCTTAGTAGGTAAAAAGGCCACTCATTGGTTAGAGCAGGAGTGGACAACTGAGAGGGTAGAGGGTCACATTAATCTCCAGGAAACTCTGGAGGGCCACATTTTCCACAAACTTGGGTGTCTGCTTTGGAAACATGGGAGTATTGTTTTGCTTCCACTTGTGCCATTTTGGGCCTGAGAAAGCCTTTTTTGCAACAGGAAGTAAGTTGGGAGGTGACTTCCTAATTTTTCAAAGGCCATTTCGAGGCATATATATATATAGGGAAGGGCAATGGCTCTGTACAATACCGGTGGTCTTGGGTTCAGTTCTCAACCTCTAGGGCAGTGGTTCTCAATCTATGGGTCCCCAGATGTTTTGGCCTTCAACTCCCAGTAATTATAACAGCTGGTAAACTGGCTGGGATTTCTGGGAGTTGTAGACCAAAACACTGGGGACCCACAGGTGGAGAACCACTGCTCTAGGGTTAAAGAAGAATCCTGTTTAAAACCTTAGCTGTTGCCAATCAGCCGACAGTACTATAATAGCTATACCAATAATTCAACTCTGTATGAGGCAGCTTCTTTCCATTGTGCCTGTGTTGGAGTACGGAATACAATATATCACAAATATAAGTTCTAACATATTTTAAGTGATTTGTAGGTCTGGTGGTGAAGACTGATAGTGAGTTGCTGACCTAACTGTGTGTGAGGGAAGATAGTCTTGATTTCAGTTTATGAAAATCTTTAAAATAAGATTGATTTGTATAACTTCTTAGTTAGACAAGGAAGATATTTCAATAGTTCAAGATGATCCATTCCTTGGCTAAATAATCAGAGTTGAGACTGCAGTTAAGGAATCGGAAGTTTATGATTTGAAAAGGCAAATATTGGAAGACCTAGGAAAAATCCTGAAGTGTAAAGATATATCACTGAAAACTAAAGTTAGGTTGAAGCATGCCATTATTTCCTTTGTTTCTATTTATAGTTGTGAAAGTTGGACAGTGAAAAAAATCTGACAGGAAGAAAATCAATTCATTTGATAAGTAGGGTTGGAGAAGAGTTCTGTGGAGAATGTGGACTACTAAAAAGACAAATAATCCCTGACTCTCCAGGTCCTTCCAGACAGGCCCTATATCCCAGGATCTGATCCCAGGTTTTCTGTTTATCCCAGATTATCTGGCAGTGTGGACTCATATAAAGCAGAAATCCTAGGATCCGATCCTGGGATATAGGGCCTTTCTGGAAGAGCCCTCCCTCCAAGTCAAGCCAAGATGACTAAACTGAGGCTATCATGCATTGCCATATCATGAGAAGAGATGGCTTTAAAGCAAGATGATAATTCTTGGTAAAGTGAAGGGCAGCAGGAAAAGAGGAAGACCACACTGCAAGAAGATAGACAAAACCAAGAAAGCCATGGCCCTGAGTCTGCAAGACATGCACAGGGCAGTTGATAGAGTGACTTGGGATCTCTCATTCATGACATTGTCATAGGTGGAAGAAACTAGAAGTCAGTTAACAAAGAGGGGCAAATGAGAAGGGTGATAGTCTGGGACAAGTGGAACATGGAAAAGATTATTAAAGGAATGAATGAAGGAGAAATATGAAAAGGGGATAAAAATKGAAAAGARAATGTGCAGGGAGGTGAGGTATGGATAATGATGGATTGTATCATTGACCCTGTGTTTCATATCTGCCCAGCTTTTCTCACATATTCTATTATGCCATTGTGTTGTGCAACTCTTATGATTGGAACTTGTACCAGCCGGCGAATTGTACCTCTTTGCACAAAAGCCCCCCCCCCCCACACACACACACACACACACACAAACACCTTCTCCTGCAGAAGGATGATGTTGTGTCGCACGTGCTTATCTCTAACAGGGGGACACAGACTATGTGGCCAATTAAGCCTTTGGAGGACACACTCTTTCCTCCAAGCTGCTGATGTGTTTTTAAGAAGAATCAACACTTCAGCGGACCTACTGGTCAGCCACAAAGCACCTGCCAAGAGCCATCATGAGGAAGGGAATGCAATCAGTGTTGTTTTATACCTGGGACTTTTCATTCCACCAGCACTACATTTTATTTAGGTCCTTGATTTCTTTTGATATTTTATAAATAGATGCACACAAACGTGATTTAAACAGAAGGTGTCCTAAATTCTCAATTTAAAATGTATTTGTTTTTTTTATCTAAAACATGAAAGAGCAGTACCTTACATATGTTTTGTAAACATAACTGGTTTGTAGAGGGAAGAATAAGAGAGAAGTTATTTCAGTATTAATGTCAATCACCAGTTTCTTAGTTGCATTCTGGTTTATTGAATATGAGTGGCTTCTTTTACAGTAAGCTGGTGTGTTATGACCTTATTTCCTATTTGTTAGTTGTTAGCTATACTTCGATTGTTGTATGAATATTCTCTGTTAATTCCCTGCTTCATTTTCATAATGGGAAGGAAGCAGACTCAAATAAAGGACCTGTTGCTGGAGATCACATTCACTCTCATTTCTAGATGTACAAGATTTTTTCTTCATTTTGTAAATTTTAGAGAATATTGTATTGCTATTCTGCTGAAATAAGAGTTTTGCTATTGTGTGCATGTGTGTCTGTCTGTGTGTGTATGAGATAAATAGTTCACCGTTTTTAATGGACATAAAACGAAGAGTTCACTTAAAGTGTCATAAAGACAAAATGTAGCCACAGTTATTTAAATAGGTTTTTGGCCAGGAGAATAATTTTCAGATAATAATACTGGGAATAATGCCATAGAGTTCTGATATGGCATGAGATCTAGTAATGTTTTAGGCATTTCATAACTTTGATAAGAGTGTACCAAAGGAGCATGATATCCCCACTATACATTTGGAATAATTTGGTACGTAGGTGTAATTAGTTTGTCTATATTCATTATTATTATTATTATTATTATTATTATTATTTATTAACTTTATTTGTACCCCACTAGCATCTCCCGAAGGACTCAATGCAGCTTACAAGGGCTAAGGCCTCAAACACAACATAACAATACAAAACCAAAGCAAATTAAAAACAGTTAAAGCAATATTAACGACATGCAATAAACAATACATCAAAACACTATAAAACTGGGCCAGGCCAGAGTAATGGGTACAGGATTAAAAGTGCTATATTTAAATATGTTGTATTTTTCCTTTCCAGGGAAAGGAAAAGGCAGAGGCCGAATACGATCTGAAGATGAAGAAGAACTGGGAAATGCCAGGCCATCTGCTCCAAGCACATTGTTTGATTTCCTGGAGTCTAAAATGGGTACTCTTGCAGTAGAAGGTTTGTTGAAAGTCTTTGTTGTTACTTTTACAAGAGAACCCTAGCTGTGCATCTTCCTCTTACATGGATAAGATCTCATGAAAGGATTGGTCCGCTCTTAAAACTGCTGTCCTCATGATTCCATATTATTCACTTAATAATAATAAATCTAATTCATTTCTCAAATATTAGTGTAAAGTGTTCAAATAATTTCCAGGTGATCTTTGTTTTTTGTATGAATGAAAATTTGATCAACGATTTAAGTGTTAGTAGTCTTGACATGTCATCCATAAAAATGTTGCAAGAGAATCATGCTGTCTCATTTGACCTGACACATACTTAGGAGCCTTCTAATCAAGGTGAAAGAAGAAAGTGCAAAAGCTGGGCTACGGTTAAACATTTAAAAAACCCAAAAAAACCCAAGACTATGGCAACCGGACTGATAGATAACTGGCAAATAGAGGGAGAAAACATGGAGGGAGTGACAGACTTTGTATTTCTAGGCGCAAAGATTACTGCAGACACAGACTGCAGCCAGGAAATCAGAAGATGTTTACTTCTTGGGAGGAGAGCAATAACCACTCGATAAAATAGTGAAGAGTAGAGACATTACACTGGCAATGGAGATCCACATATTTAAAGCAATGGTACTCCCGATAGTAACCTATGGATGTGAGAGCTGGACCATAAGGAAGGCTGAGCGAAGGAAGATAGATGTCTTTGAACTGTGGTGTTGGAGGAAAATTCTGAGAGTGCCTTGGACCGCAAGAAGATCCAACCAGTCCATACTCCAGGAAATAATGCCCGACTGCTCACTGGAGGAAAGGATCACAGAGGCAAAGATGAAGTTGTTTGGCCACATAATGAGAAGACAGGAAAACTTGGAGAAGATAAAAATGCTGGGGAAAATGGAAGGAAAAGGGAAGAGAGGCTGACCAAGGGCAAGATGAATGGATGGTATCCTTGAAGTGACTGGCTTGACCTTGAAGGAGCTGGGGGTGGCCACAGCCGACAGGAAGCTCTGTTGTGGGCTGGTCCATGGGGTCATGAAGACTTGGAAGTGACTGAACAAATAAACAACAACAATACTTAGGATAACTGGTTACATTTTCTCCAATTTACTTTTGGAGCTTTTGAAGAATTCCAGATAAAATCCTCTGTAGAGGACACAAAATAATTAAATGAGATGAAGAAGACAGCTAACGTCTGGGTTTCCAATTTCAGTATTTTTAGCCCATGCCAAATGGAAGTAGCAAAATGAAAACATGGAAGCATCCAATGAAATACAACAGAAAAAAGAGACAAGTTTCCGTGGGGTTGTCATGTGCAATAGGTAAAAGATTTCCTGTACTTTAAATATTTCTAAGGAAGAGGGAGTTCCATCAGGTGAAGTTTGCATGAAAAAAATCATGCCACAATTCTATCTTCATATACAACTATTAAAAATACAGAAATTCTGGCATTTCCCTAGTTCCGCTATTTGGGTGGTCATTGTGAATGAAATAACTCAGTGATGCAGTGATACAATTTTTGGGCTGTGGCAAATATTGCTGAATTAGCACATCCTATACTGGACTGCCAATAGGGGGTCCTAGTTGCTGAATGTCCAAGGAAATGATGATGTAGAAGCTTGGGAAACCACGGCAAAATCAAATACTATACGCCAAAGTTTATTGCAAGCAGAATATAGATTTATCTGGCTACCCTCCACTTTATAATAGAAGGAGAGTGTGACCTTGGTGATAGTTTCAATGCTAGCACAATGGTTCTTTTGCAGAAGATGTTTGCCTGGTATGCCAGTCAAGGAATGCTAATAAATGCAGATATTGAAGTATTAAGCATACCAGTTGTGGCTCAAGAAATAATTGCACATGTACATAATTTGTGACCTGTCTTATTGAGCACAGGGGGGCTGCTAATCATAAAATACGGGGTTAGCTACTGGTTAGTCAAAAGGTAAGTGATACACAATGTATGAAGCCTTTAAAGATGTACATTTCTGCAGTGGCACAATCTTCTATGAAGGATCAGCTAGAGCACATGTGAAATTCAAGGCTCACTATGCCATTTTATGTGACCCTCCAGATCAGTGGTTCTCAACCTGTGGGTCCCCAGATGTTTTGGCCTTCAACTCCCAGAAATCCTAACAGTTGGTAAACTGGCTGGGATTTCTGGGAGTTGTAGGTCAAAATACCTGGGGACTTCCAGGTTGAAAACCACTACTCCAGATTCTGGATTACAGTTCCTGTATTACTCATCATTAAACAATGACTGGAGCTTCTGCCCTTTTTGGGTGGGAAAATAGTAGCAACGGCCAGGGGCAAATTGAGCCTTCAGGCTGTGCTGACTTTTTTCCTTTCTGTGGAATGACCATCGGCTTCTCCATAGAGCATATCAAAATCCATAACTTTGACCCCAGAACCTGTCTTCCATTTATATATGATATCAAATAATATGACAATAGAATAAGAAAAAGCCCTATACCTATCATTTAATTTTACCATCTCTGGAGAAGACAAAGGCAACAAAAATCAAGTATCAAGGCTTGAGAAACTGTTCTGAAAAATAAATCTAATACCTATTATTCTCATTTCGTAGCATCTATTCTGTAGGTTTTTCATCCCCCCCTCCCAAATTACTTCTGTACATAATAGAGCTTTCTGGGGCCTGAATTGGTAAAATGTAAACAACCTTTGCCTTGCTGTGATTGAGCACAAGTTTATATTCTGTAGCTGTCATTTGATTTGTATTTTAGCTTCCCCAGCCCTACCAAAGAAACAAAAAGAGAGGAAATTCTGCAAGTAATTTTAATTCAAGGACTAGAAGATTATTATCTACATTTTTAAAAAGTGGTGAAATGATGTAGTCTTCATGGTTTGTTACAAAATGACAAGTTAATAGGCTTTGCGTTCTAGTTTAACATGACTAGAAGCTGGTCAGCAGTCTCTTTTACAACATTAAGCAAACAGATAAGTACCCCTCCCCGCTTCTCTTTATATTATTCTTTCTCCCTTAGGCCATTAGCTGAAACTCTCGAAAGGCTCAACACTTTTTTGCTGGAAAATTGTAACAAAACCTAATTTGACATTTTGGAGCAAGACATGCTGTTTTGTCACGCAGCTAGACATCTCCTCAGCTATTATGGTAAAAGTTGGAGAAAATGGCCTGGAAAATGCTCCATTTTTTGACTTAATTGCAAGACAGGGAAGCTTTTGTCTTCTTCTAGGTAGCTTTAAGATGACAGGCATTTCCCTTTTAAGCTGTCAGTCAATCATTTTATCCACTTAGGCTCTTATAAATCTGTGACCTTGAAACAATGACGCCAAACTAACCTCTTTTTCTATAAAGGAAGCCACAGACATTTGCTGGGGTGGAAACACTGGCTCGTGATCATTAATAAAATCAATGTTTATTTAATGGATGGCAGCTTTCAGAGTTAAAAATTACTGTCAAATACAAATAGTCTGATGTGACAGAATAGCTGAGGTGCACCAACCACTGACCTGCCTCCCTCAAGGTGGACTCAAAATAAAATAGCTCAAACAAAGGTTTTTGTCAGCTTTCACTCTAAATTAGTAAGGTACTTTAGAGAGATCAGCCAAATTAAATAGCAGCTGAAAGACAACACTTCCACATAAAATTCAGTGGAGTTGCAGGTAAAAAAATACAGAGATGGAAGTGTCAAAGCTGTGCAATGCTATAAATTTAAAATCTTGCAAACAGATAGCCTCAGTCCAGTAAGAATGAATTTTATTGGGGAAAATCAGATTAATTTTTGTGTATGCATATTATAAATTGGCTACTAATTTTTTTGCATACATCATAGAAGAAAAGTGTCTTTGCACAGAGTTGATACACAACAGAGATAGAGCTATCTGACCTCCTTTGTATGAAATGGAGTATTAGGGATGAAAATTCCATATAGTTGTTTTTATCGATTTGTTAGAAAGCATTATTTCAAGTAGGTTAAATACTGAATTTTAAATATTTGTTGTTAGTACCCTGGAAGCTTTTGTTTAGCAGCAGGATAAAAATCTTTATACACACACACACAAAGTTAATCCCCATGTATCATCTCTACAGTAAACAAGAAATTCCAATTAGTTGTGCCACTAATATGTGTTTTTGTTATCTTTTTTTTTAGAACCAAAGCTACAGATGCCATTTCAGCAGCAGGGACAACACAGAGTACTAAATACTGAGCAAAATGGCATAAAAATGTATAACCATCAAAGGCATGTTCCTCGAAACGAAAATAGACAGCCAAGAAATGAGAAGCCACCACGTTTTCAGAGAGATAGTCAAAATTCAAGGCATGTCACAGATGGAAGTGGATTATTGAGAGCCAGACCATCTGAAAGGCAAAACTCTTTGGGCCCAGATCAGTGGACCGAAGAGAGAAGCAAGTGTGATAGACTTTACCCACGAAAAGATCTTGCATATCCAACACCTGTTCACCCCGGTGACTTCCATTTCAAGAGACGGGACAATCCTGTACAAAACAGGCAAGGAAAAGTGTCGCTTATGGAGAACTCTTCTAGTCAAGATCCAGCTGACAACAATAACCAGAAGCAAACACATAGGGAAACACAGGTACACCATCCTGAAAATATATACGACAGGAAAACGCCAGTGCTTGGAAATGAAACGTTTGCCAGCTTAAAAAATGAGCAGCACTTTGGTGTGAACATAGATTACCAAAACCCTGCTAGAACTGATCGTTTTAGCTCTGTACCAAATGGGGATTTGGAACATTTTCAGAAAGGAAGAAGAGTTGGACCTATTAAAATGCCTGCAGCAAATGCAGCCACACCTTTTGATGTTAAAATGTGCTATGACATTGTGCCCAGAAAAAGGTCTGGGCCTATCAAACCAGAGAAGATCTTGGAGCCATCTAATTCAGGAGAGTATGGAAAAAGCTGGCAACCTGGAGACGAATGTTTTGCTCTTTACTGGGAAGACAACAAGGTATGTCCACCACATCTGAAACAACTCTTCACTGTATTTAGAGAGCAAACTGTTTTGTTTTTTTCCTATTATAAAATGTGACAGTAACTTTGGGGAGAAGAAACAGTGACTAATGCTTGTTACCTAGAATGTAGGTGATTGAATGCTTGTTCCTATCCTGCTGTGAAAAATAAATAATTCTCTGAAGATGAGATGTGTGAAAGTAAGCAATGTATTGTAATATTTATGCTACTGAATACTTTCCTTTAAAAAAAAAAAAAGCAGTTGCTACAGTTCTTAAAAGCAATGGATTTTGCTTTGGTGATAAGGGCAGATCAGAGCATGAGACTCGTACAAGTAATATCACACTGAATGTTTTGCTGTCAAAAGTGATCTTAAAAGATGGAGATGCAGCCACGTCTGCTAACCATATACCATTTTTTTCCTCAAAATTTGATGCTTGAGATCATAGGTGGCCAAAGTTGTCCCCCAGTATGCAGCCTCACTTCCATTTCTCATTGGAATAACAGCATGATTAGGCTGCAACAAGAGTTCTGGAAGACAGCTCTTCAAAGTAGGGCAAGAAAATAACCGACTTCCCCATACTTTTGCTATAGATTTCTTTCATTGGACAGATGCTCCTAGTTTATGTGCCCTGGCATACCTTTGGCAAGACATCTCCTTGCCTTCTTACCATCTCAATATTTAATCCTCCCTTGCTTCTTTTTTTAACTTCATCTTCACATATTATTTGAATGTATGAAATCCTTTAGAATCTCACAAATTTTATTCTCATATAACACTGGGTGCAAGAAAAGAAAGTCTGATTTCTTACCAACAACTAGTGAAGTACATCACAGCAGCCATCACATTGTCATATGAGATTGTCAGTGAGCCTCTGCCAATAAATGTCGTGTGCCTTTAATTTGTTTTCAAACTACGGCAGACCTATCATGTTTTTTAGCAAAAATTTCTTCAGAAAAGATTTGTCATTGTCTTTCTCAGTCTTGTGGTTATATCCCACCACACTTACTTAACATTGTGGGCTTGACAGGCTTGCTGCTTCAAGACCAGCCATTGGAAGGAGGGTGATAACAAGATATATTTCCCTCTTTTTTAGGGTCTGCTACCCAACTCTCCCCAAACTGATTTTGTCTTTGATTGTGCAGATTCCATGTCTGGATTTCTGCATTGCTGTATAGAACTCGAGTTGCATTGGGCACTCACTGTGAAGGCTTATACTTGTCTACCAAGACCAATCCTTGCCAGAAACAGGTTCCCCCCACTTTGATTTTTGTTCCACATCATTCTCCTCTTTTCCCCCTTGTATCTCATTTGTTTGCTTAGTACTTCAATCCTAATTATTTTTTTCTGGCCTGTAACGAACTGGAGGAGCATCTATGGATTTGCATAATTAACGATTATTGATCAGATTCTTTCTAAGTGGCAGAAGAAGTCAGTCCTTGCTTGGATGTCTTCTTTTCTGCAGATAAGAATAGACTTTCATAATAAGCATCCAACACAACTTAAATCACTGCCAGGAGGGTGAATATCCCCCTGGCTACAAGGAGTGCACAACTCCCTGGCTGCCATTTTGTTTCTGGGCACAATTCAAAGTGCTGGTCATGACCTATAAAGCCCTATATGGTTCAGGTCCTTGCTATTAGGTAGATCTCTATCTCCCAATAGGAACCTGCCCAATCCCTGGGATCCTTAGGAGAGGACACAAGGTTGGTGGGGACATGAGAGGGCCTTCTCGGTCACTTCCCCTCAAAACTGGAACTCCCTTCCCAAGGAGGCTAGAATAGCCCCCTACCTGTTGTCCTTCCGGCAGCAGGTTGAAATCTTTCTATTCAGGCAGGCTTTTAAAGAAGTAAGTTGTTTTAAAAAAATGATTCAGGGGTGCCAGGTAGTGTTTTAGCTATTTTTATAGTTTTAATTGATTTAGGTGATGATGGATTTAAACTATTAGTTGTAACAATTCTATGGTTAATGCTATTTTAATGTTTTTATGTTATTTATTTATCGAGTCATCAGCAACCAGTCAATTATATTACGTTTCTAACAGAACAAAGCAAACAAACAGACAAAATACAAAAATACAATTTGTGAGTTTGGTAGTTGATTAAATGTCCTTTGACCAGTATCTGGCCACTTGGAGTGCTTCTGGTGTTGCTGCAAGAAGGTCCTCCATTGTGCATGTGGCAGGGCTCAGGTTGCATTGCAGCAGGTGGTCAGTGGTTTGCTCCTCTCCACACTCACATGTCAAGGATTCCACTTTGTAGCCCCATTTCTGAAGGTTGGCTCTGCATCTCGTGGTGCCAGAGCGCAGTCTGTTCAGCGCCTTCCAAGTCGCCCAGTCCTCTGTGTGCCCAGGGGGAAGTCTCTCATTTGGTATCAGCCATTGGTTGAGGTTCTGGGTTTGAGCCTGCCACTTTTGACTCTCGCTTGCTGAGGTGTTCCAGCGAGTGTCTCTGTAGATCTTAGAAAACTATTTCTAGATTTAAGTCGTTGACGTGCTGGCTGATACCCAAACAGGGGATGAGCTGGAGATGTCTCCTGCCTTGGTCCTTTCACTATTGACTGCTACTTCCCGGCGGATGTCAGGTGGTGCAATACCGGCTAAGCAGTGTAATTTCTCCAGTGGTGTAGGGCGCAGACACCCCGTGATAATGCGGCATGTCTCATTAAGAGCCACATCCACTGTTGTAGTGTGGTGAGATGTGTTCCACACTGGGCATGCATACTCAGCAGCAGAGTAGCACAGCGCAAGGGCAGATGTCTTCACTGTATCTGGTTGTGATCCCTAGGTTGTGCCAGTCAGCTTTCGTATGATATTGTTTGCAGCACCCACTTTTTGCTTGATGTTCAGGCAGTGCTTCTTGTTTTTATGTTGTAGGTTTTCAATTGTAATTTGTACTATTTTTAGCATTGTGTACTAGTTTGAGTGTCATTGAGAAAAGAAATTGGGATTATGATGACGATGTTGATAATGATAATAATAATAATAATAATAATAATAATAATAATAATAATAATAGAAGCTCTTGTCTCCATTCCTATGCTTTTTGATCAAGCATGGGAAATGCAGGTGCAGTGTAAGTGTGGAGAGGAAATACAAAAGCAAATTATTTATTGTTATTATGGTTATATTTATTTCTATCATGCCTTTTTCAAAGCGATTTATAGAAAGTTAAAACACATGTAATGAAAAATTACATATGATACTTCACTTCACTTCACTTTATTTCTCAATTAGTCGCTCTCCATCAAAGTGCTCCGAGCGGCTTAGAATTTAAAATAGCATTTACACAATATAAAAACATTCAACATAAAATACAATAGTTAAAAGAAGATTGAAAAATCAACACTTTTGAAACCAGATTAAAAATATATCATTTGACACACAGTCACATTGCAGGATCCAGCACATTATTTAGGTAAGACAGGTGATACTCATCAAATGCCTGTGAAAAAAAATAGATTCTCTTCTCTAGAAAGAGTGTTCCAGAGCCTGGGGAAAATCATTGACAAGGCCCTCTCCTGTATTTCCCTTAGATATACCATACTTACTCGAATCTAATCCTCACCTTTTTTTTTTTTTGCTAAATTACATAGCCCAAAGTGAGGTGCACATTAGGTTTTGTGGTACTTTAGAATCACACATGTAAACTCGCTTGCGCCCCTCCATCAGGCCAAATCTGATGAACTCAACTGACTTCATTCATGAGGTTTTGGAGGTCTTGTGAAAGAGGCCTTAGTTGGGAAGCTGCTGTCCATCCATCAGGCTGAGTCTAAGTGAGTTTGCCAGCCTCAGCCTGATAGAGAGGCACAGCTTCTCCTTGCACACAGTTAATTCCGATACAGGCAGAAGAATGGCCAACAGGCAGGGGAAGCCGCATATTCCATTCGACAACTGTTTTTATCTTTTTCTTTTTTTCTTTTTTGCAATGCACACCTTCAAAATTGAGGTGCACATTATAATTGATGTCACATTATACTGATTATACCGTAAATACGGTATCTGTGAGGGTTGTGAGACAGAGAGAAGGACCTCTCAATCAGATCTTAATGAACTTAATGAATTTTCTGAAATGAAAATAGGGCCTTTCAAATATGCCGGCATTGTTGTATTTGTCAATATGATGGGCCTCTCAGATAGTTGATTGCAAATTGAATTATGTCATCTAAAGTTTTGAAATTATGTGTTTTTTCCACCCCAGTTTTATCGGGCTGAGATCGAAGCTCTTCATTCCTCTGGGACAACTGCAGTTGTGAAGTTCTGTGATTATGGAAACTATGAAGAGGTGTTACTAAGCAACATCAGGCCCATTCAAGCTGACACCTGGGTACGTGATAATAAATTGTATACAAAGAGATAAAGTACATAGTTCTTACGAACAATGAAGCCATAAACAGATGACTGGTAATCGTGCAGAGGGTTTTCAAGTAAAAGCCTGAAGAAGAGAATTCTAGAACTGATTAAGACCTCCTTCATTACAAATCCATCCATAACAATGCCTTAAAGAAGCATGTGGTCTTATACTCATGTAATAAAATATTTAAATTGTTGGGGCAATATATTCTTGAATCACTGGCAAACTAATATTTATATGAACCATTGATACAATTTTAATTTTTTTTCTTTGCCACATTAAGAGTTCTGATCAGTGGCTTTTGTGTGGTTTTCTGTTCAGAAAATGATAAGATTTGAATTCCAAAGCGTTTTTAATCTATGTATGTATGTATGGCTAAAATGAGAACTGTTTCCATCATTGTTTTACATGTGATCCTTCCTTTAACACATATAACATTACATAAACATATTCAATAGGTAAAATATCATACAGACTTAAGTTACTTTATAAAATACACCATTCCAAACTCTTATACACAGTTCATTGAGAAGTGCAAAGTATTACCTAATAAAAAAGACATGAAATGTAGTGCATGTGTGTGTATACACACACACACACACACACACACACACACACATACATATATACACACACACAAGGATCTTCTCTTAAAATTATTGGGTTGTATCCAGCAAAGATTAGGACACTTTGCACAACCCACCCCAAATCATTAAACAGGTTTTAGGAGACAAAGGGGGGATGCCTTATACACACAACTTGGCACCATTGGCTATCACTCATGGCTTTTAATTCAATTTTATGGAGGCTGTGTAATTGGCTGTCTTGTCTACGATGACATTTCGTAATTATCATTGTTAATGGCATACAAAGAAGTGAACTGTCAAATAGGCTCTTATGTATTTTAATTTTGAAGTGCTGCTTTTTGCTCTTTTTGCATTAATTTTTGACTTGCAAGTAGACACCTTAAAATTGATTAAATTCATTCATACCTTTACTGACTTATTACAGCAATAGGTAGTAATTACCAGAACTTTTGCTATGTATCTTTGTGCTACTGATAAGCATTCAAGTTTTATTTTCAGTGCTTCAAACATATTCCCAACAGCAGAGGATTTTGACATGCTGTTTGTCCTGCTTCTGCTTTCTCTTCATTGGTTTTCTGTAGTTTGAAAGAGGGTATAGACTTTGGAGCCACATCTTCCTCTTTCCTACTATGCTCTTTTCATGTTCTTTTCATCTTGGCCTTCGGACTCTCCAGCCCAATGTGGAATGCCACTGTTTCTGCTGCAGTGTCGCTTGGAGTCTTCCCAACGTATATGTCAGAGCTATAATGGTCTGATAAGAGAGCTCCACCTAACACTAAGATAAATATTTAGACCCTGAATACTGCAACACATGTCCTCTTCTTCATCTCGGAATGGGACTTGTCGTGGTTTGTAGCCTATAGTGCAAATTTCAGAGCTTCCGAGCAAGGCAGTAGAAGTTCTAGGACACATTATGGCAGACATTAAAACTTCCATGGCTCTTGTGGGTAGGAATAGTGTTACAATTGTCACCTGGCTTAAGAATTCATTGTGATGCTGATCAAGAATATGATTAGTTTTTTCAGAAGTTAAGAAATGCTGGGGAAATAATTCTATTATCACATTTCTAATAGAGGAAGTAGAGGGATTAGAGAATCATCCATCCATTTGTATTGATACATCAAAGATTTGTTTTGATTTTTGCATTAGTTGGCAAGATTGTGGGCTTGGCCAGTCTTTATTACCTCTAAGGAACATCATGTGCATTGCTATTTTTCTGTTGCAGTGGCCGCAAGCTAATCAGTTCTATCCTGATACCATGCAGACTTAACAGTCTCAGCAAACCACAGATGAAAATATAGGGACAGAAATGAGAAAAGGCAGAAATTCTGTAGGCTCTTTCAAAATGATCATAGGTGGACTGTTGAGAGACAGGCAGATTTACCCATTGTGCCCAGGAGGTTACGGGTTGTGTGCTTTATCGGAGGAAGAATGCTAGTGTTGCCAGTTCTCTTTCTTTAAATTATATATAATGCATCTTCACATAGTACATATATTTAAATTGAGGATAAATTACACTTGCAGTTTGCTGAACTTGAGTAATGGGAGTGTGTGAATGATGCTTGAGATGCATTTGGTATTCACCATGTTCTCTCCAGGATGTGATCAATCATCTTCAGCATTTTTTTACCAGGTTTTGGTAACTGCATCTGGAGGTGTCTTTTAAAATGACATTTTTCTCTCTCTTCTGCTTGGCTGCTTTACAATTTAATAATTTCTATGTTAATAACATTTCACTAAGGTAGCTTGGTAGTTGTACAGGTGAAATCTTGGTACGGTCCTAACTCAACATTCTTCACCATATTACTTGTGTCATGGTAGACAATATAATATCCATTTACCAATATCAAAGCATCTGGTAAAGAAATAAAGGAAGGTGGTATCACTGTAGTAATGCTTCTCAATTATATATTAAGTAAATGAAAGGGCTACATGAATTTGGTATCTTTCCTAAAGCAATAAATTTACCAGTGAACACCTATTATGTAGACATGCAGATGTTTCGCTACAAACTGTAGACAACAAAAAGATTGTCCTTTCAAGGATTGTTTGAAAGTTTTGCTTGACAATAGATATGTACACTTGTGTATGTAATACATGGTTTTGCTAAATGTAGCAATGATCACAGAATAAATGAATATGTTTGCAACGAATCAGCCCCAAATTAAATGCCATCAGAAGAATAAATTATTATTTTCTTTTGCAACATTTAAGATAAAACTTAAAAGCATGTATTGTTCAGAGCCTTCAGACTGAATTAAGTCTGTGTTGTAGAAATGTAAAATAAACACAAAAAACTCTTTAACCTAAAGTGTTACGTTTTTCTCAATTTTCAGGAATATTCTTATTGTAAATATCTGTACAATTTTCAGTATCTAATTTTGTTGTCAGCATAGTGTCCTTACTGCTTTTTTCATACATTTGTGTGCGCCATAGTCCTCTGGTAGCATTTAACTTTATTTCTAGATGAAGAGCTCAACTCCCATCTGGTTAAAATTTAGTTGTTTCATAACACTGGCCAACACACATTTTGGTGCCTCAAATGTTAGACCTGTTTTTGGGTATATTTGACCTGTTGATTCCAAAAATGGCACAGTTTCCACCTGTTAGCTCTAGTTTTCGAGATACATAACATATGGCATATACCAGTCACCATCTGCTTGCCCACAGAAAAACAAGACAATCGTATCTAAGAAACTACAGCTGATGTGGCCTGTCCAATGCAGTTTCTGAAGCAGTGTCCCAAATTACCCCAGGAACAGGCCTAAAAGGCAAGACACCAATTTTTTTGTTAAGATGTGTAATTTTTTTAATTGCCATGACTCTACTAATCCCTCTGAAGTATTGGCAGTAGTGGGTGCCATCTTAGCAAATGTGCGACTCTGTCATTCACCACTAATTTCAAACATTCTAACTTCACAGAACCCTTCAGACATCAGCATGTTTACCAAAGAAGCTCCAATGCATTTCAAAGGCTCTTGGCACATTTTCTAGGATGTAGTCGAACTTCATGTCATGTATAGGTCAGATATATTGGGTTTCATCACTGCCCTACAGGAGTTACATGTGTCTGAGAACAAACACACCAAACACTTTAAGTTAGGCATACTCACTGGACACATCAGTGCTTAGTGTTTTCAAAAACCTTTATGCAAAGTCATCTCACCTAAGTTTAATATGCCAGTACTATCAGAAAATAGTGGTAATTGGCACTAGCTCTCCAGTCTTTGTCTGTATGAACAAATTTTCTTTCAGTGTTTGTTGGGTCAGGTGTGTGCTGGCACACAAATAATCAAATTTGTTAGGATATTTTTCTTCCCTTAGGGTCTCTAAACCATGTGAATAACTGTAAATTGGTAAGGAGACTCTTGCTACTCAGCTAGTGAAAATGAAATGATAACCAGTAAGGCTCTTCTCTGCATCTTGAAGAAAAAGAAACAACAAAATTTAAATTGCTACAGGTTGGTTGCCAGGTAAATATATATTAAGACACTGTCTCACTGTGATCTCAAATTGAGTTATCAGTTGCCAAATAAGTAGTGGGATGCTCTATTTCTGATAACAAATATTTCTCGAAGGTTGTGATGACACAGGTGTATCCTCAATTTCACCACCTGACACACATTCTCTCATTTGATAGCAGAGGCAGGAATGAGATGCCTTCTGCATCTCAGAAATGCCGGAGTGTGGATTTTTCTTTTTCACATGCTCATTTATACTCGCATCCAGCAATCTCTATCTGTTCTCTTCCCAGTTAAGAGAGATGATATTAAAATTCTTAAGTCCTGAAAAGAGTTCAGTTAATATGGTCCTGTGGTGTGGAAGATGGGTTGCAAAATCAGAATAGTCATGATCCCAAATGAGGAGCAGGAGTTCTTTATTAAGGCAGATGTCTGCTTTAAATGAGATCTCATGAAATTAACTTTATTGTCAGATAAGGAAGAAAAGGGTAACATGCTCTCTGCTTCTTTTCCCCTACCTATTAACCCGTACAAGGATTGTATGCTATCAGCACATTCTTTTAAGAGAGTTTGTTATGCCAAGTATAGTGCTGCTTATATCTTCTGAGAATGTATTAATGACAAGATGAACAACTGAATAGTAGCTCTCACAGAATCCTAATAGAGTTATGAACATCTGTTGATCCATCACAGCTCTGCAGATTTTAGACATCTGTCCATATAATCTTTCAATATGTTCAAATGCAGTGGCCATCAGCCCTAGCCAGAAAAGCCAGTGGTGAGGAGTTAATGTAGTTATAGTCCAGTAATCTTTGGAGGGATATGTGTTTCTCCTTACAGGTCTGTTGTGCCATTTGAAGATATGTATACCGGAGACTTTGATACACTTTGACATCTTAATATTTTTAGGTGCCTGATTAAGCAA